AAAAAAAAAAGGCTTTAAAACCTGGTTGGTTTGATTGGAGGTAAGAAGAGGAAGAGAAATTTCCCTATTATGATAAAAAAAAACAAAAGGAAGAGAGAGGAGGGAAAGGTTTTTCCCTTATTTTGCTTTCATTTCCTTAACATATTAGTATATTCAAATAAGTCCCTTAAACCAAACAAGCACTTTAAGTTTAGACATTTAAACCTTTAGTTTTTATGTTTGAAGAACAGAGTGAAAAGTTGAGAAGACGGTGACAATTTGCTGTTGTCAAGATCCTATTACAAGAAGAATATATAGAGAAACAGGAAGAGACAAGAAAAGGAAAGAAAGATCAAAAGTTTTTCGTTTAGTTGAGCAATTTTACACACATGAAAGAGAAAAGTCTCACCATTGAGTCTAGGAGAAATTGGGTGAAAGAAGGAATGTTAAAATCAGTAGGGGACGGAAGTGATACTTTGTTCTGGCATAACATCTGGGTTGGGGAGATGCCACTTAAGGAGAAATACAATAGATTATTTGGGATCTCTTTAGATAAGGAGGCTGTCATTGCAAAAATGGGTAATTGGAATCAAGGGGTGTGGGAATGGACATGGAAGTGGAGACGAAATCTTTTTGCTTGGGAAAATGAACTTTTGCAGGAATTAATCAAGGAACTACAAACAATCTCGCTAAAACAAGGACAGCAGGATGCATGGACTTGGAAATATAACCAGGAAGGCAAGTACACAGTGAAGACAACATACAAACATTTATGTCAACAACACACTATAGGTTCTACTTCTGGCCAAAGGTATGATTTGGTATGGAATAAAAATGTTCCTCTCAAAGTGAGTGCATTCGCATGGAAATTATTGCAAAACAGAATCCCAACAAAGGACAACTTGAAAAGTCGGGGACTGAAAGGCCAAGATGATGACAAATGTGTGCTATGTGGAGTAGAAGTAGAGAGCGTGGAACATCTTTTTTTCAAATGTGAGGTTTCATGGAGCATATGGGCCTCATGCTATGACTGGTGGAACCTCAAAACAGTTGGCCAAGGTAAAGGATGGATACATATTGAGCAGCACACTGGCTTGGTATCCAGAGGACTCATGAAGGAAATGTGGATAGTAATCTGGTTTGCAACTATTTGGTCCATTTGGCTGTGGCGTAATCAGAAAATATTCAAAGATGAAGCCGACAGTTGGGAGCGGGTTCTTGAGCTAATAAAGTTCAGGTCGTTTTACTGGTGCAAAACAACATTATGCCCAGATCTTGTGCAAGACAAATGGCGCTCCAAACCAAAAGAAGGACACAAGAGATTGCAGCAATGAGTTTGAGACTGACCACCATGTAATGGACCATGGAAAGAGGTTACTTGCTGGTAGAAGTAAAGATGGATACCTACCTCCTAAAAGGCAAGTAAATGGTTGTCAAGCCGGTGGCTGATTACAATCCGTGTTGCCCGGCATGTGTATGGGATCTTTAACTGTGAAAGCCTTTATGAATTTGTAGTGTAATGGGTTTGGAGTACCCCCTGTACTCCATTAATTCAATAAATTTTATTTGCTGATCAAAAAAAAAATTAAGTACGTAAATGTCATTAAAATTTTGAAGAAAATTTGTTTTTTAATCAAATTAATAGGTCGTGTGGACTTCTATTGATAGAAGGACCAAA